GAAGGGTGCCTCCCAGCACGAACGCGACGCTCGGCGACGTGGTCTACTTCTACCGCGAGGGCAATCGCAAGAACCAGCGGAGGAAGGGCCCATGCTTGATCTTCAAGGCCTGGCACGGCCCGGCCGTCGCGATCGGAGTCGAGCCGGCGGCCATCTACGTCTCGCACGAGAGGCTGTCGACCAAGCACGACCCCGCGGCAGTTCGCCGCGCGTCGCCCGACAAGGCGTCGGGCATCAGCGCCAGGGAGCAGCTGGACATCATGGAGATGGCGCCGTTGGACATGGAGGCCGATGAGGAGCTCGACATGGAGGACGCGACTAAGGCGCTCGAGGAGGAGGGCGGGGCCGACCAAGTTGATGGCGGTGAACCTGAGGCGCCAGAGGCGGATGTTCGACCTTCTCAGGCCGAGGATGCTGCGGAAAACCACGCTGATCAGGAGGAGCAGCAAGAGCCGATGGGTGAAATTCCCCCGTCGGCCGCGCTTGCTGCGATGGCCAGCGCTGCGGCCAGCAGCGAGCTCGACCCGATTCCAAGCGCCGAGTTTTCATGGAAGACGAGTTCTCGGGAGAGCGGGAAGATTGACTTCCTGCACGACGAGGCGCAGCGGCTACGGGACCAGGGCGAGGACCCAGACAAGTCCAAGGCGTTGCGCGTAGCCAAGACCAAACAGAAGCACGTGAGTGAGATGCGCGAGCGGTCCGGGTCTTCGACCGCTCCAGCACAGGTGTCGAACGTCATCACGGACGGCCAGTTCGGGCCCCACGGCAGATTCGCGCCGAGGGCGCCGCGCGTCGGGGGGGGCGAGGATCAGCGGGATGAGGGGTGTGAAAGCAGCACTTCGAGACTCATCGCGCCCTCTCCGGAGTCCGCAGCGGCACAGCCGCAGGCGGCGCCCTTTCAGGAGCCCGCAGCGGCACAGCCGCAGGCGGCGACCTCTCGGGAGTCCGCAGCGGCACAGCCGCAGGCGGCGATGGAGGACATGCCCCAAGGTCGGAAGGGCGACGCGGTGGAAGCTGAGCTGCAAGAGGCGCCGTCTCGCGGAGGACGCGATGGACCACCAGAGCTCAAGCATCCTGACAAGGCGCTCTGGGCCAAAGGTGCGGCGAAGAGAGCCGCGGCGTGACTCAAGGGTGCCCCTGAGGCAGATGGGCGGCGATTCCCGGACCACTTGGAGATCGCGCCGGCGGTCGACCCGTAGTTCAAGGCGATGTTCCTGCGCGGGCAGGCCCAGAAGGAAAAGGTCTGGAGTCTGGAGTCGGATGGGCCCGCCAACGAGGGCGAACTACGAGGAGGCGGCAGCGCCGCAGTGGGCGAAGTGGATCGACGCGGAGTCCGTCGAGGCAATGTTGGAATAGGAGTCCGCCGAGCTCGAGGAGCAGATAAAGCGCGACGGCAAGGGCGACTACACCACGAGCACGCGGTGGGCGCTGACTAACAAGAACGACCCGCTGAGGACGGAGGCGAACGACCTGCCGCTGAAGGCGAACGCAAGGCTCGTGGTCAACAGTGGCGACCCCAGGCGCTCGGACGAGAAGACCAACGTGAGAGTGGACGCGCCCTGTGCGACCACTCAGTCGGAGATTATCACGACGCAGGCGCGAGTTCGGAAGGGCGTGTTTGGACTACCTACGGCGCCGAGGCTGTGGCATCTGAAGGTGATCTCGGCGGCTCGCAAGCTGGGACTGGGGCCCGCTCGCTCGGACCCCGCCTTCCTGGCGCCCCACGATCCGAAGGCGAAGGAGCGCGGACCAGACACGCCGCGGGGCTGCGCCTGCATTCACGTGGGCAATTTCCTCTGGACGGGGAACGACAAGATGGCGAAGGTGATAGACGCGCTGGGCAAGGAGTTCGGCGTCGGCAGCAATGAGTACGACAACTTCGCGTTCTGCGGCAGGCGGTTTCAGAGACAGCCTGGAGGAGCCATCGCGATCGACATGATGGAGTACGCAGCCGGCCTGGAGCCCGTGACTGCGCCCAGGAATCGGCGCTCGTCAGCGCGCCTGCCGATGAACGCGACGGAGTGAAGCAGCACCAGCAGGTGGTTGGCAAGATCAACTGGGTTGTGACGAAGCTGCGGGTCGACTACTCGCACGACCTGGCAGTGCTGCAGCGCGAGAGGGGGCGCAAGAAGGGACCACGGGCGTCAGCCTTGATCAAGGCGGACCAGGTCCTGAGAGAGCTGAAGCGTGACTCGACGTGCAAGAGAGCGCGCTGCGGCCGATTGATCTCAAGCGGTTCGGCCCGGTGGTGGTGTCGGACAGCTCGCCGGGCGACGCGACGCTCGATGGGGCCGCGCTGCAGACGGACCCTGCCACGGAGAAGATCGGCACTCGGGCTGGATTGCTCATCCTGTTCGCGGACTGCGAACTCGTGCACGGCGGTGCGGGCAAGTTCTCGCTGCTGGGGGGCAAGCGCCACAAGTTGAAGCGCGCGGCGAGGAGCTCGAACACGGTGGAGGTGATTTCCGCGGGCGACGCTGTGGACGTAGCACAAGGCATTCGTGACCAGATCGCGGAGATGTTGCACGGCCTTGTGGCAAGGGGCGCGGGCGTGAAGTTGCCCGGCTGGCAGGTGCCCATGACGGTAGTGACGGACAGCAAGGACGGACACGGCAGGCTCATTTCAGACGCTGGAGCGGGAAGCTCAGCGCAGAAGCCGGTGAACCTAGAGTTGGCCAGCGCACGGGAGATATTGGATCGACCTCAGACGATGGTGCGCTGGACAAACGGGACTAAAATGCTGAGCGACGCGATGACAAAGGATATGCCAGCGGACCACCTTCGAGAGACGCTCGCACGCGGCACGTGGAGCATCGAGTTTCGCGAGGAGATGGCGAACACGGCCAGGCGCGTGGCCCGAGAGCGATGGGCGGCAAAAATGAAGGAGCTCATCCGAGATGGAAAGTTCACGCCAGGAGCACTGGAGCCGTGAAGCGAAAAATGGTATCGTTCCCCCTTCTCTCCCCTCCAATATTCTGGGCTGAGGCCGCCGCACGTTTGCAGGCTCGTGTCTCAGTAATACGATGCCCTTTCTTTCCCCCCCGCATGCTCGGAATGCGGATATCCGGCGAGGGCCAGCTGGCCCGTTCATTATGAAAATATTTGTTGGACAGAGCTGCTGCGCGCGATTTCAGGGACCTTGAAAGCGTTGTCCTGGGGACCCGCGTTTATTCTCAGATTTCACTGCCGCGGATCGCGACCGCGGTGTATTATCATTCTGGGTACTGTTTAAGTAATGCGGTTTCGACGAGGCGGGCACATGTCCAAATATATTAAACATCCGCGAGGAAGATACGGCCCCTCGGATTGGATCTGCCCCCCGCTCTGCCCTGATACCCCTGTTTTGCCTTTTGTGCCCCCTACTATGCCCTCGCATGTCCCCGTCGTTTCACCGCAACTGACTCGGCTCGAACTATTCGAGCCGGCTTGAGACGCTTTGCGTTACAGAGGCGTGAGCGCGAGTTGGAGAAAGATTGCCGGCCTCTCGGGCGTTGCCGCGCCCCGCCGCCAGACCCCGCTGCGGTCCCGGGGGAGGCCAGGCTTTGAATCCCTGGGTTCCGCACTGCTGATGTTGGGACGGGCCATCGTCTCCTGCTCTCCGCCTTTTTCTGCGCCCACCCCCCGCCCCGCTGCCCGCTGCTCTTTTCCGCCGCTCCGCGTTTTTGCCCCGCACTTGCTGGACGGGTTCCCCGGGGTTGCCTCTCTGTTTCTTTTTTGCTCGACCCATGAAGGGGCCGAGAGTTGAGGAGCTACTTCGTGGACGCCATCCGTCAAGCGCGGGCATGCACTCGCGAATGTTCCCTTTTGCCTCGCGCCCGCGCCGCAAATTCCCGCCCGCGTGCCAGGCTCCTGCCGCGGCCGCGGCTGTCTTGTGCACCGCCGCGCGCGTCTCTCGTTTCCTCTCGTCGGTTCCTCCTTTTCGCTGGGGCCCCAGGGTTCCGTTTTCTCCTTTGGTTGGTGTTGGGCTGGGTCTTGTGGCTGTCCATTGCGGTTGTTTGGAATCGTGCGCGACCCTCGTCTGCCGCGAAGGTGAGATGGGCGCCCACGGCAGAGTACCCTGCCGCCTCTCTTTCTGGTCGCTGCCTGCCTCCATTGCCATGCCCCCCTTCTGGCTCGGCTCGCGTCGCCCGTTTCACGGGTCCGCTGGGCGGTGGCGCTGGCCACCCAGCGCGCGTGTCTTGGCAGCGGCATTGAGTGGAGAGGGAACAAATCGTCCGTTGTTTCATTCCTCTTCGTGGTCGTCATCAACCTCCTCCTTTTCCAAAATCTTGCCCCCGCCGCTGCCCCCCCGATGTCCTCGATGTCCTTCTGCCCCCGCCGCTGCCCCCCCGTCATCCGCGCTGCAATCGTCGTCATCCGCCGCCAAGTCGTCGCGATCATGCTTCACTAACCCCCCCAGAGCTTCTGCGTTCCCCGTTTTTGTCCGATCGGGTTATACAGCGGAAAGCGCACACGCCCGGAAACCCAAAGTGGTCGGCGAATTGCTTGATTTGGGGGAATGCAGCAGCATGTCTGGGCGTTTTCGGATGTTTCGGACGTCTTTGGGCGCATTCGGAGGTTGTCGGGTAAATTCAGAGACCTCGGAGGTTACAGGGGATGTGCGGAGGTTCACGGATAATTGATTCATTGCTTTGGGCTTCGCTTCGAATTATGAATGTCGGAAGTTTGCGGGGGGGTCCGGACGGGGCGCGGAGGAAGAGGACGCGAAGGAACGAACAGAGGAGGGGATGGGGAACGGGGAGAGCGGAGAATAAGCAGTAGGAAGTGTAGGAAGACACGCGCTCTTCATAAATGAGGACGAGGCACAGGTTGGAACCAGAGAGTTGTCATGTGTAGTGGTGGCGGCCCAAACGCAATCAATGAAGGGGTGCCATCAGCCTGAAACAGACCCCATATCCTTTTGATTGGCGCCACCGTATCTCGATGACGATCTCATGTCCCCCAGCTTTTGACAGCGCAACCCTAAGAACCTCATCGCCCTCAGGCTTGTCTGTCCCAAGGATGGGGATGCGTTGGATGTTGGCCAGGGTGGATGGAGGATATGCGCCGCGTCTCCAGAGGCAGGCTTGTAAGTAGAGCCAGGTGGGCTGATCAGCTGGATTGTAAAGAGTGCTGCCACGGCAGGTGGCCCAAATTCTAAAGGAACAACAAAGCAGCATAGACATATGTTGTCTGAGCTCCGCGCGGATGTTTCGGATCTGCATTGTGCCCGCCCCCCCCCCCCCCTGGCGCGCGTAGCGCGCCAGGGGCGGCGCCACTGGCGTCGCCAGGGGGACCGAGCGCAGATCCAATAGGTCCGAGCGTGGCTCCGAATGCAGTTGGTTGTTCCTCGAAGTCCTGCAGGATCGGCGTGCCCCCCGGAGTGGGGCCATCCTGCAGGAGGTTGCCTCTCATTTTCGTCCATTTTTGTGGACCCGACGCTCGGGCTCCAGCAGCTATTCGCCTGCTCTGTCGGAGGCCCGACAGAAACCTCCACGCAGCAAGCGAGTCCCGAGGTTTTTCGCCGTGGCCGGCCTCCTGGGTGCACTCCCCCGCCCCCAGGACCATCAAGAGAGACAAGACAGCCCAGAGCGAAAGATAGACCAGGGGTCCAGGACCCGTCCTCCTTCAGGACCCCATTCGTTTCTTTCTCCCGAGGAGACAAGACACAGGCATGAGAATTCGGAGGCTTGCGCGCCTTTCTTGGATCGGCGTTGAGCCCGCTGCCCGCTCCCCCCAGCGAGCGAAGCCTCGCTGGAGGCGCCGCCGTCGGGGGTCCAGCGCCCGTCCAGGAGATCCGAGCAGACCTCCGAAAGTGTGTGTTTATGCCGGTCTGTCCTCGTTCATGACAGGCCGTCTTGGGGCCGAGCATGGCCCCGGCCTGGGGTGCATACCACCTGCGGGCCTGGGGCCAGACCGACGGAAAGGATGGTACACCCGCCCTCTTTCTTGGCCGAGGCCCGGAGGGTCTACAAGTCATGCTAGGGCCCAGGATGGCCCTGGCCAAGCACGGCAGTGTATATGTATGAAGACGCGTGCAGATGGTGTTCGGCCCATCCCGCCACCGTGCTTGGGATGTCGGTCAGAGACCCTTTGGATGCTTGTGAGCATCTATTGGGAGACCTCTCGGAAGCTCCTTGGGGGCGGTTTTGGAGGTGCTTTGGGGCGTTTCGGGGGCTTCGTAGGGGCCACTTGGGCTTGATTTAAACCTCTTGGGGGCCTCTTAGGGCCTATGGGGGCACCCCGGGAGCCTCTCTGGGGGGATCTTGGGGCCAGCTTGGAGCGGATGGCTCAAAATGTAAGTTCATTTTCTCTCTTGAGGCTGTCTTGGGGGCGGCCTTCTGGAATGCGAGCAACAATGCACATCCAATGGATCTTGACGGGTTGGGCTTCTTGAGCCGCCATCCAGGGCCTCCATGACGGCCCAGGAGGCGCCCAAGAGGGCTCCAGGAATATCCTTGGGAATTCGAGCCGTCTTAGGCCATGTTGGACATGCATGTCCCTAACAACGCGCGTTTGGCCTCTGGAAAGAGTCACGCGGGGAACCCCTGGTAGCGCGCGAGAGCGCCCGAGAGCGTCCAGAATTCCAGGTTATGGGCCTTTGTTTTCTTTCTGCTCAGAATTCAATACAGAGAACTCATGGGGACCTGAGGACACTCCACTTCGTGCCTCGAGGCAGGGTGGCGAATGTCTATATTAGTTGTTCCTTCAGATTCCATCATGGTCGTGTTTATGAATGTCGGTTGCCGATTATGAAGATGCCTGGGGTGGCCAGTCACGCAACAGTTTCTTGAGAGATGGTTTATACATTTGGATGTTGGGCCTGCTCGTTGGCGTCGTCGTCGATATCATCAGATGTCCTTCATCATCATCTCCCAACTTCAACTGCTCCACAGCTCAGGAGCGAAAGAAGGACTACACGTACATGAATCCACGCTGGTTTCGAGAGCACGCATTGCGCAAATGTGCGTACAATTCGCGGCCAGTCTCGTGGATTGAGGGGCCGTGTTCATGTACACAGCTGGGCGCGTACGTCCGCTGTGGGCTCTCTCACAGCGACAGAAAAGAAACTGTTTGTTCATCGTTCCCCCGTGATTGTTTCTTAACCACCATCTGCATGTTCCTGGACCTCCAGGGCCCATTTCGATGCGGTCGATCCGATTCGGTACCGAGTTCACCTGGCCCGATCCGATTCCGACTGTCCACCGATCCGATTCGGCCCGATGCTTCCCTGGCGCTACTGAGCATCCTGGCGCGGCCGATCTGATGCGATTCCAACTCCGTGCCGATTCGGCCGGATCCGACACACATTCCGACCGCCCGATTCGATGGCGGCCGATCTTGCCCGGACATTGTTCGTCTGAAAATCGTGATTGCCAGCTTTCCTCGGACTCAACGCCACTTGCGGCCCGCTTCGGGCCCTGGGACCGCCAGAAGTTGTCAAAAGTGAAAGATCGGCTCTGTCGAAACCCCTGAGGGTTTCCTGGGATCCTCTTGGGGTCCCCGTCACGGAAACAGTGTGACGTCGGAGGCCATGGGGCAGCAGCAGCAGCAGCAGCATCAGGGGCAAAACGTTAGGGGGGAGATCGGCTCGGGAGGGAGGGGGATACATCGATCCCCAACCGTACAGTGATCGCCGATAGGTGCCCGATAGCCCACCCCGCCCTGGAGCGTACGGTTACGCCATCGGGGGCTTATGGTTGATGTATGGGCAATGTATCACCGATTCCAGGTGGACGTTTCCCCCCCGAGCCAGTTACCCCTTCACGTTCCCCTCGCAGCAGCGAGAGGGGTGGCAGCAGATTCGATGCTGACCGCTTCTGGAACTCCGGCGTCCTCAGAGCACATCGCGTGGATTAGGGAAAGAAAGCGCACCTCCACCCCCACCTGGCCCCGCCTCCCCCATCCTGGGGCTCGGCTCTGGCACCCGAATGTGAGGACGTGCCGCAAAATGGGCACCAAAAGCATATATCCCACCCCCGCCTGGCCCACCCCCCTCCGGGGAGGAAGGCCAGGTGGGGATGGGGCTTGGAGGGTACCCACGATACACCTACGCCGATCCTAATCAGTCCGATCCTGGGCCCATGACCATTGCATTTTTTCATATCTGTCTACAAATATATAAGATGTGTGTAAGTACCGCCCCTCCCGGCCCCAGGTCCCGCACCTCCCCGGAACATCTCGGGAACGCTCCCGGTACGGCTCCCCCGATCTTTCCGGGGAGCCTCCACAGCGCTTCAGGAGGGCCCAAGACGCCGCCCAGGAGCCCCCAGAATGCGAAAGGATGGCCCAAGACGCTCCCATGCAGCTCAAGTCAGCCTTCCGATGGCTCTCGAGGCTCCCAGATGGCCTCCAAGAGACCCCAAGAGAGGTCCGAGAGGCGTCCCGAGTGAGCCCGAAGAGGCCAAAATCGTAGATTTTCATAGTTTTAGTTTCCATGCTTTTGGCTTCTCGCGTTTTCGAGCTTCCAACGCTCCAAGAGCGCCGAAGAACCGCCCACGACCGCCCCAAGACCACCCAAGAGACCCTCAGGACGGCCCCAAGACGGGCCAAGAAGGCTCCAAGACTGCCGAAGAGGCGCCAGGGCCAGCCCCAGACCACCCCAGAACAGGCCCAAGATGGCTTCCAGAGATGCCTCCTGGACCCTCCAGAGGCCCCGTCCCGAGAGAGCCCAAAGAGGGTCAAATCATTGATTTCCAGAGGTGTTTCTAATGTTTCTCGCCTTCTCACGTCTTCCCGCTTCCAACCCTCGAAGATCGAGGATTTTGAAAACAAAGGGAATTCCAAGAATTCCATTTATTTTCAAAGTGGACTCCTACTCGGAGATCCCACACATCCCCTGACATCTGGCCGGTGCCACGCCTCCCGGCTTCCCCGGGGGGCCCCCGCTCGGGGCCCCGTGGACCACAGGAATGGACCCACGGCACGACATCCGTTTGAAGGTCGGGGCTGGGAGCCACAGGGCCCCCCGCATGTCAACAAGAGCATGGCATCGGGGGTCCAGGTTCTGGTGCGTCTTCCTTCTCGCGGATGACCGAGATCTGCGCTCGGTCCTCCTGACGGCGCACTTGGCGCCACCCCTGGCACGCTCCGCGTGCCAGTGAGGCGGTCCAGCGCCGCTCCAAGAAATCCGCACGGACATCCGCCGGGGTTATGTTTATTCCGTGTCTATTCTTCGGATCTAAATCCGGAATTCCGCGTGGACCCCGCGCGCAATCTGCGTTGATGCTCGGCGCCCATGCAATTTTTTGTGAGGGAGACGCGGTTCTCAGAGATGCATGACTTTATGAGGGCACTCCGTCAAAACGACGGAGGATTTGCTCGTTCGCTATCCCCGAGCTCGCCGCGGTGTCCCGCCAACCTGTTTCGCGTTTGCCCGCGACCAGGGATGTGTTGAGGAGTTGCTGGAAACAATGCCACACCATATCGTTCCTCGTGGTGCGCCTTCTCCATGCCAGGATTTCAAATGTCGGCGAGAGCTGCATGTGGATGGCAACGGTGTTGCGTGCTGCAGGGAGCTCGGTATCAACAAGCTGTTGTTGCAGTTGCTGCTGAGACTTCCATAATTGGCCCACTAGGTTCGTCCATGGATTCGGCTGATGCCATATCACACTCGTCCCAGATGGAGCATGCCCATCTGTCTGATGCAGAAGCCTGCATCTTGGGTCAGACGAAAAGTGGGATTGGAAATTGGGAATGGGGTACGAGATCTGCTGCACGCAGCTTGGTTCGGCCCTGCCGCGCACGGTCCACGCACGCCTTCACACGTGGGGAACTGACCATACCATGGCCCATGCCGACCAGGGCCCCCAGGAGGCCAGCGAAATCGCCCCAAATCTCGCGACGGGGTGATAATCTGAAGCTCCCTCCCCGAATAGTCGGCGGCGCGCCCAGGGGGAAGGCCTTCTCAGAAGGCTCAGAAGGCCTCCAGCCTTCGGAGAAGTTTTCAAAGTCTTCTCCGAAACCCCGTCGCCTTTGAGAAGAACTGCCCCCTCTCACTTCCCCTCTCGGCGCGCCGCCGAAATAGATTGCTGCCACGTCTTAAATCACTAAACAGCAGTCCCGCGGGACCCCCGCAAGGAAGGTCGTGGTGGCGG